ACCTACCCGGACACGTCAACAACCCGCCGTACAGTACGAATAGTCAACCGCAGTCCACTCATCCATACACTACAAGGCGTCTTGAATACCATTCACACATAGTACATCCATAAACAATCATAATGTAAAACATTTACTTAAAGCAGCGGAAACATTTAATATACGTGTTTATGCCACACCTTGGCAAACATGGGCATACAAGCCCCCAAATAATTATTTAAAATAATATCCATGAGCATTATTATATTGTTTTGAAATCAGAAAATGGGAGAAACACGAACCACGTCTTTTTCTCTTGATCCTCCCGGTGCAACGAGCGATGGTAGCAACCTTCAAGTTCTACCTGAAACTGTGAGGTGGCCTCCCCCGTGAAGGGGAGGTCAGTACTTGGAAGCATTTGACAAGTACAATGACAACTATACTAAGTATAGTCAACGTTTTAATTTCCAAGACCCTCAAAATAGGGTGATATCATAATATAAATAATAATTTATATTTCCCACTTATTATCTTTATAATAAGTAAATTCATTTATTTGTCGGCACACGGCCCTTCTTATATATTTCTTTTCATTTATCATTTGCACAACCCAATCCTTGGGTCTTATTATTTCTACGGGACTTGCTACCGCTGTCCGAGACCTCATGAGGCTCTCGGTTCGGACTCCAACATCCCGCCCTGGACTCATACCCATCATCCCGTAGGAAGGTAAGGCCCTTCGGGGTCCTATCTTATGTGTTACCGCTACCGGAACCTAGTTAGGTCTCCGATTCGGATTCCACCCTAACCCGTGATCACGATGCAAGTCCATGCTATCCAACCCCGCTCTCTAGAGTCGGGAAGGGCCATGGTCCTTACTTATTTCCATAATTCAACCGGCTATCCTCAAAGACTACCGAACACACCCGTAGGCCAATCCTATATCTAGGATCAATTTATTATTTACTTTATCTTGGGTATCCCTTAAGGCCTACCCCTAGTATAACTTAAAGTTCATACTTTCCTACCTTAAAGCATCTCTTAAGACTATTTAAGGCATAACATTTCACAATCCAACCTTAGGATCAATCTTAACAACATTTCATTTTTAATGTCCAACTAGTATCTTAATACTAGCCAAATTAATTCTAATAAACCAAGTTCTTAACTCATAGTCATATAGCCAATTCCAACTAATTTTTCCATTGAAAATATCCTTTATCTCAATATTCAAAATATCACTTTTAATCACTCATATATTCTAATATGAAGTAAAAAGAATATTTCAACATATGTTTCATAATTAATTCCACTTTCAAGTCAACATACTCATAACACATGATCATACACAATTTACTCTTAAATTTGTATATCATGCTCCTTTTTTATAGACATTAGTCTTCTCATTCTTAGGCATTATTAATCATTAATAATCCATAAAACACATTTAATTACCTTAGGTAATCTCATGAAATTAACTCACTAATTATAAGCAATATAGTCAGCCATCCTCACCTTATGATGTCCTGAAATAGTTGCCTTTGTTAAGCTCTTCAATCAATCCCCGTTCTAGACTGATTGAAAACGAAAAAGTGGACTGCTGGGCAAAAGCCGGGCGGCTTTCACGAAAGCCGGGCGGTTTTCGTAGTATGCAACTACGAACAGCTCCTTTAGAGTGGCGGTTTCCGGCGATTTCGACTCCTATCGATTCACCAACTCTTCTAAGTTAATTGTCACTACTTTATAACAATATTCTACACTTTTAAACGTGTAGAACTCATGGTTTAACCCACCATATGATTTCTTACAAATCATACACCATAAAACTAGTTAAAATAAGATAGTTGAGTCCTTACCTTCTTCCTAGCTAGTTTCTACTGGAATTTGCTTGCCTCTTACTTCCTCCAAGCCTGAATTTGATGAGGAGTTGCTGGAGCTCTCTCTTTCCCTCTGGGTTGGCCGAAAAGTTGCAAGGGATAGGGGGGATGCTTCTCCTCAATCAAGAACACCAATAATGCCTAGAATGAGGCATTGGCATGAGGTTTTGTCTCAATGAGACTTCCTCCCCTTTTCTTGTCCGCACAAGTCATTTTGGCTTGTCCCCCCAGCCCTTACTTAGTCAGCTAGCACGCCTAAAAACTTGGGGTGGCCCCCACTTATGTGGGAGGTCATCCTGTTATGTCCCGGTGTGTACAATCGGCCCCGAAAGTTGTATTTCTCGGACTGTTTTGATTATATTTTATTTTATCGGGACAAATAAAATATATCACACGTTCCTATTAGTTATAGGCCTTTAGAATAGATGTAAATTCCCTAACATTAGTTTAGGAGTCTCCGAAATTCATTTTGGGCTATTATCCGCTAAATTACCAATACCGGTAATTGGGCCCTGTTTTACCAACCGGTCAACTCCATGCCCCTTCTATGGCCCAAATAAAGTATCCACCACCATATAGATGTCATCTAGGCGAAGACGAATATAATATGTGGTTCTGGAATTATCGGGCGGTCCCCGTTCCCGCTGTGGGCCCCACATGCAATTTACTATTCACGTAAAAGAAATAATAAAATTTAACAATTACGTAAATTCATAAATCATCCTTCAAGGTTTACTACATAATTTACTAAAAGTAAACATGCTTGGGGACGGTGTCACAGTTTAACACTTTTTGGCATTGGTTTACACTGTTTTGAACTTTATTTTGAACCGACTCAAAAAAGGAAAGGGTGAACCTTATTTAGGACTGGAGGGAGTATTGAATTCTTGTGAATTTGTGAAATCTGAATATTGTGATCATACCATTAAAATTTTGATCTTTCAAGGTAGGCAAATTAATTATGAGCCTGTTTGATAACCTTCATTTTCGGCTTATTAGGTAGATTTATAAGATATTTTTTCGCGAAATACGTAACTTTGAATTTCGCGCGTTGAATTGTGGAATAACAAGAAACATTAAGGTTGGAGTTACTTTTCTGGATGTATTGGCTGAAGTTATTGTAAATGATCATTTTAGCTATTTTTAAATATAATTTTTTCTTTGTTTTATTCATAAATCAGCAGAATCGGCAAATTCAGCCAATTTAGTCTGAATTTCATAAATTTCAATATAATTAACCAATTCAGCCGTTTTCGATATTGTCAAACATGCTCTATATTTACCAATGACTTTAAACTAATGAGTAGAGTTATTACTCCATCCGTCCCGCTAACAATGGGACAAGAGGGAGTGACTCCCTCCGTCCCGCTAACAATGGGACAAGTGGGAGTGACACACAAATTAATAAAAAGTGGTTTATGTGGTTGATATTGAATTGATAAAGTAAGAATAAAGTAAGAATGATTTAGAGTCACACAAACTTTACCAAATTTTGTATGGGACAATCTTAATGAGACGGATCGATAAGGTAAAATGAGACAATCATAGCGGGATGAGGGTAGTATAATAAATTCACCGTTGAAGTAAATCTAATAGTACATAATATGTAGAGTACCCCCTCCCTATATGCTTGTTGCACTATCACGCTCTCGATCAATAATCTCTACGACGGATCAGCACACCTTCTACAAGGTGCATCCCTATAAGACAAGAAAAATGTTCTTTGTACACAGTAGTTTGTACATGCTAGTCAAATTGTCAATGTACAGATAATTTGACCGGCGTTTTATGAAGAAAATGGATTTTCATTGTCTGTGTACATATAATTGTTTGTAGACACAATTTAAATTATCTGTGTACAAACAATTTAAATTGTATGTGGCACATAAAAAATTGCATGTGTCAAAAATGGTTTTCTTCATAAAACGCCAGTCATATTGTCTTAGGGGTGGGAGAAACTGAACCGAAACCCGGAAATTAGCCCTGGCTCGACCCGAATTATGATACCGGTCCGAGTTTTTTCTTTTTGACCGGCCCGAATAAAAAAAAACCGGACCGAACCCGAAATTTCGAGCTCATTAACGGGCCCTAAAATCTATAACCCGGACCGGACCGATAAAAACCCGAAACAATTAGTTTTAATATAAAATCAATATATAATATACCAATATAATTTATAAGTTAATTCCTAATATATGATTATATTCATGGTGGACGAAAAAATGAGTTAATAACTTTTAGTGACTATGAATATGTTCAATTTATTTACCGTACTGACCATAAAAACATATTTATAATAACTTTAGTCACATTTTTATTCATAAAATTTATTTCGTAACATTTTTAAAACACCTATATTATTTATTTTGCCGCATCTTAAATACTCCCTCCATCCCTTAAAACTTTGTCATCATTCCTTTTTGGGACGTCCCAAAAAACTTTGCCACTTTCCCTTTTAATCAATTATTTTGTGATTTCTGTTATTTCTCTCTGCTCTGCACAAACGTCAACCACACATTTTTTACTTTATTATTCTCCGTGCCGGTAAACTTTAGCAAAGTTTTAAGGGACGGAGGTAGTAAAATATTATGATAATTATCTTCTTTGGATTTGAATTCTTGGAGATTTTGGAGACTAATATTTGTGTTATTATTTGCGGTTTGTACTTTTTATTATTTTATTTGAAAATACATTTTATAATATAAAAGAAGAATGAGATGATTTCACATTCGTGCTTTAACCGGCCCCACCCAAACCCGGATTGAAAGCGGACTAAAAAAAAACCGACTCAGACCGAATATAGTGAGCTTTGTTTCGGTGCCTAATTTTCATAACCCGCGATCTTACGGGTAATTTTCGGGTTTAACAAAAACCCGACCCGGATCGGATCGATCCCACCCTTATATTGTCTAACCGGGGTGTAGAATGGTGTGTACAATAGTGTGTACAAGGAGCAGGATTGATAAGACAATTACTTGAATTTAATTGATACTTAGAATATAATTGATTTTTTAAATATAATAGCGTACTTACCAAACCCTTTACCAAATACTGTAACTTATTGTAGTGGCTAGGACTAAGACACTATATATTGCTGCAGTTTCCTATATGTGGTACAACACAGCTTTTTGTCCTGTTGGCAAGAAAGGGGCAATTACTTTATTGCCATTTTTTCATGGTTCTGCTATTCTGCACTGATTCCAACCCAACCTCCCCTCAGTCCCCTTCTATGGCAATCCCCTCCCCTCCAACCCCGCTTTCATCTATTCAACCAACTCATATATCACTGCGAACTACCGAAAACATACGCCTTTATATACCCATAGTTGTTCATATCTCTGAAGTCCCAAGAATGGAAATTTCAAGCTCCAAGTTTATTGAACATCCACCACCCCTTTTTCTCTCTCAAATGGTAATTAGGAATAAGGGTTTCAATTGGCAATATTCACCTACCTCTAAATCCCTCATTGCAACAGACTTGAATTTTCTTTTTTCTTGCTTTAGCTTAATTTGTAGGACTTTTCTGTATATTTGGGTGTTTTAGTAATCACTACCTCCATTTGTGTCCACTTTCTTTTTATTGGGTTCATATGGTTTGTTTTCATGTCACCCAGGAAGAAAGATTGGAAGGTTATAATAATGGGAACCCATTCTTAGAAAGGTTTCCAATAGCAGCAGCTCAGAGGAGTCAATTGGCAAAGAAAAGTGTGGAGGCTGCACCTTCAACCCCTGGGAGGCCCATTTTCAGCTTCAGTGTTGGGAATTTTTCAAGAAAATCTGTCCCTTCAAAGTGGGATGATGCAGAGAAGTGGGTTGTTAATGGAAGCTCTTGCCATGATTCCCCCTCTACTGCTCACAATCATGGATTCAAGCCCCCAGAGTGGTTAAGATCCTCTAAGCACTGTAATGGGGTTAAGCCCCAAGAAGCAGCTAGAGAGCCAGAAGATGGTGATGATGAAATGCATTCCTACATGGCATCAAATGGAAAATCCTCCAAACCAGATGTGCTTTTTAAGGGTATAAATTAGATAAATTCCTCAATCTTGCTTCACATGTTTACTATACTATACTAGTACATCTTAAGTTTTGTACATCCAAACTGGATGGACTATAGCCCTGACTTCAGTCAGAATGATTCAAGTACTAAAGCTGAAATCTTTTTTAAATTATTTCAAGTATCTTTAAATTATTCAAGGATATTGGGGTTGATTCTAGACCTTTAACTCGTGCCTTGAAAATGCAGACAACTTCACCAGAGAATTAGGAAGTATGAAAGACAAGCCCATGAACTGTTGTGCAACATCAGAGGTTGTTCATCCTGAGGTTGTTAATCTGAGAGACATAGGAACATCAATGACGCCTATAGGCAGTTCGGCTCCATCGAAATGCCACACCCCGGTCATGATCCTGTCGCCAGCAGGACACAACACACCTGCCGATCGGTCCGGACCGCTTGGTCCATCATCCTCAAGCTCTGCCAGCACAACAGATATAATGATGCAATTACAAGAAAGCCATTTGGCAAAACTACAGCTCGGGATGACGCAACATGACTCAACCGTGACATCGAATTGGAGCACCAGGGAAGAGGAGGAAGATGATGTTTCGAAGAGCTTGAGACACTTCGAGGCGAGCAATGAATGCCAGGGAGTTAGCATACCCAAGCCTAGAGAAGCTTGGGATGAAGAGGCTTCTAAGTGTTGCCTAAGGTACACAATTTCAACTTGCATTGTTTGGACTACAAGCATAAAGTATTGATACAATTTAATACCTCAAATTTTGAATAAGATGAATTAGTACCCCAACTAAGTATACTTTGATGTCTTATTACCATTGGAATTCAGACCAAATTCATCTAATCAGGCGTAGTAGTATAAATTACACATATGTTCCCATCTTATAATATTTATATGCAATGAAACAACTAATTCACATACTCATCTTTATCAAGCTCAGATCTCGATGAGTCTAATCAATTCTGAAAGAAACCAAACATTGGTAATTCTAGTTATTACAATAGATCACAATCGCACTAATTCAGTTACAACCTCATCTGCCCCATAAAACAATTAATTTTACACTCATATATACACTCTTGTTATGGGACCCTCGCCCGGGGCCAATGTGTACCGGACTGCCATTTAATACATTTTTTCTTGAAATTTACCTAACAAGTACTTCTATATTAGTTTGGCATGAATTTCAAATTGCACCATCTTCAAGCAATAAAATGCATCTAATTAGGGTATGTTTGCAAACAATTAAAAAAAAGTGATTTTCAGCTTTTAGTTTTAAAAAGTTGAAATGTGCGTTTTCAAGTGAATTTAAATTAAACACTTAAAAGTTAAAAATTGTAAGCTCCTTTTTACTTTTTCTATTACAAAAGCATATATTTTATCAAGTACTATCAACTTTTACTTTTCAAAATAAATTTTTTCGTAAACACTAACAACTTTTACTATTAAACACTTTCTTCAAAATCGCTTTAAAAAATCACTTTTTTAGAGCAAAAGCAATCCAGATACTCTCTTAACTCATTCAATTATTGAAACTCCAATAAATTAATTTGTCACAGATATCAGAGAGAAGAGGCCCAAATTCAGGCATGGGTGAACCTCCAAATGGCCAAGGCAGAAGCTCAGTCCAAAAAGCTAGAGGTTTAATATTCTACTTTTCTGACCCTTATTACTAAAAGCTCTCTGTTCTTGATAAATGAGGAAAAAACTGTCAAATAATGCATGGTTTGATGACGTTATAAAGGTGAAAATACAAAGGATGATATCCAAAAAGGAAGAGAAGTTGATGAAGAGGATAGCAATAGTTCAAAGAAAGGCAGAAGAATTGAGGAGTGCAGCACAGCTTCAACATTCTGAGCAGATGCAGAAGGTGAGTGAAAGGGCGAAGAAGACGACGGCCAACCGCTTGCGGCCGCCGCAGAACATTAATATGTCGTCATCTTCCCGGGGTGGCCCAACTTGCTGCAGTTGTTTTCCTTGCAACAGCCATTATTACTTGTAGCAGTGTATAGTTGCAGTCTTACTGCATGTGTTAGTTGTTCTATCATTTCCTATCCTTTGGTCAATTTGCAATCAGTGATACATTCTTTCAATGCTCTCCAAGAATCTTTGGTATGGATGGACCACAGGGGCAATAATGGGAGATTTTGATCTAGTAACATTCATACACTCATTACCATTGTCCCGAGTTTGGTTTGTAGCCTTTTTATAAAAACATAGAAATTTTTAAAAATATATTTACACATTTACATAAAAAAGATATTTTAAAAGTGTTAATTTATTTTTTTATTTTTATATATTCAATATTGGTGTCATATGAAAAATAATAAAAAATTGTGAATTTTGGTGTATTTTTTGTAATAATCAGAGTAAAAGTAAAAAAGATATATCACTTTTAAATACAAATGAGATTTTATTTTTTGTGGGACCACTATCTCTCCTTAGTTGCTTGCATCACTTATGTTTTACTTAAGCAGCCACTTCAACACCGGTTTTAATGCTTTAATGCTTTTAAAAAGATAACTTAAGCTTTAATGCTTAAGTTATCAACTCCTGAGTTTAGGGGAGCAATATTTTGTGAAAAATTTTCAATCTGATCTTATTTTGGGAATTATTTTTTTATTTAACATTATTTTGAGAAAAAAGTCATAAACCTTATCCATCTTATTCAATTCATAAAGAAGGCAACCTTTAAGTCTGGTTTGGAAACCTTTTTTGTCTAATAATTTTCTTTATTGAGTACTAGACGTTTTATTAATCAAAATAAGTAAAGATAAATTGAAATTGATGAATTGGCTTGGTTTAAAGAAGATAAAGTGGAGTAAAATGTAAACATAACTTTTATCGAATTCAAGCATTTAGCATGTTCAACAGTTTCAACTTCAACTATATACTCCGTATCTTTTACTCACTTTGTTTCCTATATTGTCTCCTCGTGTGATCTGGCTCACAAATTAAGATAATATGTTTTATGTGGTGAAGAGTTATGCAGAGAAGAAAGAGATATGTAAGAATAATTTGAATCATAAATTCTTTGCCGAAAAAAAAAGGGGATAAATTTGGGATGGATGAAAAAATGAAAGTTTGAAGATCATATAGGAACAAAGGGGGTAGTAAATTCAGTAGATTCAGCAAAATCATCAAACAACATCACACTTAACTTTTCTAAACGTAAATACTTCCTCCGTCCTTTATAACTTTGTCAATTTTCCCTTATCGGATGTCCCACTAACTTTGTTACTTTGCGTTTTAAGTAATGAATTTGTGGTTCCAGTTCATTCTCTCTCCTCTGCACAAATCTCGATCACACAGTTTTTACTTTATTATTCTTCGTGCCGGTCAAACTTGGCAAAGTTAATAGGGACGGATGGAGTACTTCGTAACTAAATGTATATAAACAATAGTGCCCATCTCAATTAACTTAACAGGCTTTCCTTTTTGGATTGTCTAAATAATTTTATCACTTTTCCTTTTGACTAATTATTTTTTTGGTTTTTATTGTTTCTCTCTCCACTTCATAAACTTTAATCACAGCGTTTTAAGTTTATTATTTCGCGTGATCAGCCGATCAACCTTGACGATCAAACTCGACAAAGTTATTAGGGATTGAATCCGAGGAAAGTAATTCAGAACATAGTACACTACACTACTCGGTATGAGATGATTGAGTAGTGTAAAGCTAAGGTACAAACAAATACTCCCTTCGTCCTGCAGAAAATAGTTCTCGAATTCCTTTTTGGGTCGTTCCAAAAAATAGTTCTAATTTCCCCTTTTGGAAAGTTTTCTGTGACTCGCATTCATTTACTTTTTTCATACTCAAACACAATCATACATTTTCACTTTATTCTCACTTTCTTAAACTCTTATCCAAGTCCGTCAAGTTTTTACGCGACTTTCGGATTATAAAGTAAGGCATGTTTAGAAACGTAGGTGTGCATCATGAGTTTCCAAAAACAAGTTCGATTATGGATCAGAGGCCGGGTGTGGTACGTTGAAGCAAGCTGGCTATGGCTAACGCGACAAAACACTCAAAAAGAAGGCTGAAAAGGGGATCGATGCATGCTTTGCTTACAGAAAGAGAAGAAGAAATTGGTGTTACTCCCTCCGTCCCATATTTAACTCCGATTTTGATCGGGCACGAGTTTTAAGATAATGAGATTTGTGTGGTGGAGAGTTATGCAGAGGAGAGAGAAATGTGTAAGAATGGTTGTGAAACACATATTATTTACCAAAAAGGGAAAAAGAAGATAAATTTGGAGGGATCAAAAAGGAAAGAACGAAGATAATTACGGGAGGAGGGAGTATAAGATTTCCCCCGACAGCACTGTTTTTGTTTGCTTGTTATGTACAGCAGAAGAAGCAATTATACTGTACTATGTAGTTGGAATCACGAGATCGTTTTAGATTGTATTCCCATTCTTAATCCATAATCAGATTCTACCCCCCCCCCCCCCCCCCCCCCCTCTAGTCTCTATATATATATAGGCATGCACTGCTACTACGTAACGTAACAATGTGTTTTCACTCAAACGTTTTCCTTTAAATGGTAGCAATTCAAGCTTAAGCCCGACCACTCAAAACAGGACTACAACTCTACAAGTGACAGGTCTACAAGAGGCGTGGAACGATAAGGACATAATTTTCTAGACAATTTATCAAATGCATCAAATTACATTAAGGTAAAACTTTGTCATTTTCCAATTGAACTACTCCCTCGGTCCCTTAAAGATTGTCACACTTTCCCGAAACGGATATCTCAAAATGTTTGTCCTACTTTTTCAACTTCCTTATTTGGTAAACAAATATATATCAAATAGTGCAAAACAGTGCAAAATAATGTCAAACAGTGTCGCTACAATGTGAAACAGTGACGCTACAGTGTAAAGTCAAATTCATCTCCTTAAAACTTGTGAAATCAAACTAGGGTAAACTTTAAGGGACGGAGGGAGTATAATTTTGATTAGTATAATAATATGAAAGTTATATATTTTACTTTGATGAATGCATTTTTAACACAACATTTTCATATAATTCTTATATGATTCTTATATTATGAATAATTTCCAATAAAAAATATATAGTTGATCAATGTTTTGAAAGTGACAAAGTTTTTTTGAGACGATGGTAGTATTATATTATACTCTACACTCCCTCACGTCCTACCAAATTAACTTGACCTATTCGACTTTTCTATATCAATGCTAATAAACTTTGGAAAATGATTTTAGTTATTATATTTGTGTAAAATTTTAACATTTATACTTTTATGAAAGTGTTTTTAATAAAGAACATTTATTCTCATATTTTAAATAATTTTGTGTTAAAAAACATCATAGCTCAAACTTGATCATCATTGATAAAAAAACAAAATGACCAAATTTTGTGGAACTAAGAGAGTATGTATGTAAATGTTGCACATATTTATCATTGTTTGGCATCCCTCATTTTCATCTTATTACACTTATCAATTGACTATTTACAAAAACATGTAACTTTTGATTTCACGTGCATAATGGTGTAACAATCAAAATAAGTAAGGTTAGAGTTGTTTTTTGTAATTGAATTGATTTAAATCATTGTAGATGACCACTCTAGCTAGTTTTCATAAAACTTTTTCTTAATTTTATTAATAAAATATATTTTAAATATAACTTTTGTAGAATTAAACATTTTAGAGAGAATTTCATCAATTTCAGAAAATTCGGTCGATTCGGTCAATTTAGTAAACCAAGATCAGTAAACAAACTATGTTTCGTTGTATATTAAAATAATATTATGAAATAGTTCAGATATTCATAATGATATTTCTTATCAATGCTACTACACTTTCATTTTTACTTTTATTTTACATCGAATGATATTTTTTTCTATTTGTTAAATTATTAAATAATGAGGTTAAATAGAGGTATATATTAGGCTTTTAAAATATAAATTAAATGAATAAAAGTTATAAAACGTTGTGAAAAACTATTAAAGTTGTTTTATGCATTCTTGCTTCTTTGGTAAGTCAACGAAAAAACCAAAAAAAAAACGGTGATAGGTGGTTATCCAAACACTATAAGTAGTATGTATTAAGACAACCATTTTAGAATATACGGAGGGACTGGCGGAGCTGCCATAGTTCAAAACTCCAAAAGTGCTCAAATGAACACCTAAAGTTTTAAAAAAAATATTAGTATACATTATAAACTTAATTTAATTATTTATTGTTCTTTCAAGTTTTAATTATACAAAAAAAATAAACACCAAAAACCCGAATCATAAATGCACCACTGCTGGCGGGTGCAAGAAAAGTAAACCATATTTTGTTTTACAAAACTGTGCGTTTATGTTATGCTTGTAAATAAAATAAAAAATAGAAAGTTATGTTTGTAAATTGTAATACATCTTGGAATTGTTTTATAATAATACACCTAACCGGTGGGCGTAGCTCAACTGGTAGCGAAGGAGTGTCACAAGGGTTAGGTCCTGGGTTCGAATCCCGGCAACTGCGATGAGGGGTTACTATGTCAAAATGCATATGGTCTCTGCAAGTAACGAGGACATAGCCCCACTCTCATTTGTCATATTAGGATTATTGTCCAATTTACATCTTCTCAACGTACCGTCCGGTCGGGGTTGGGGGCCTCAGGGATGAGCTGTCATCCTTTTTTTATAATAATACACCTAAATAGAGTTTGTACACTTTCTAAGTAATTTTAGAACAGCGTACTGTCTTAAGATACTCGACTTTTCTTCTGTTTTTGCTAAATTCAGCGGTGGAACCAGACAATAATTTGAGGGGGTGCTCTTATTTTTTTTTTTTGAAAAACAATTTTTTATTAGGATAAAATAAAAACGAGTGAAAAAAAATATTAATACATATAGAGTGAGGTTCTAATAAAAAGAGTTATTCCCATGAAAAATGAGAACGGGTGCATTTTTTACTCGTTTTGGTACACTCGTAGATATTTATTTTACACTTTTTCACAATGAGAGAAAATTTTAATTTATTTATCAAATTGTTACCGAGTTTTTGATAAAATATAGTGCATTGTTGACTGATTTTGACTCATCGGATCTCAAGTTAAATGCACAAGATTTATTCTCGATCAATTTTCATGATAAGAACTCTTTTTATTTGATCCGAAACTTATATATATGTATATGTAGTGTGTTTCAAATAAAAATGCTATTATACTAAACAAAAGGTAAATACTTATATTAACATAAAGTAGTTTTAGAATTATTCTTGACA